TGGAGCTCCAAATCGCGTTAGAGGCGAGGGGGGCCCAGGGGGGGAATAGGCCCCCGGGCTCTGACACGCACTCCCGGGACTTCTGGAGCCCCAACTTCTCCATATCGGGCCTCCGAGATACCCAAGATTTCATCCAAGCTTGCCCAAGCTGGGCCCCAACACGCCGAGGGGGCCTCAAAACAACAACAAAGATAGCTCCAAGACGGCTCAAGAAGCCTCCAAGACGCACCCAAAGACCTCCCAAATGACTCACAAGACGCAAAATCCTCCCCAGCCCTCAGGAAAGCGTGTACTTTCAGCACTTGCACCTTTTGTATTCAAAAGCGTCCACGACAGGCCAGGTGGCCCCTAAGCTCGCGCCAAGCTAGCCCAAGAGACCCTGAAGAGGACCTCAAGATGGCCCCGAAGCGCCCCAGGGCAGCCCGAGCGGCGCCCAAGGCCGCACAAGAAGGCCCCGAGAGAGCCCCAGAGGGTCACCCAGAGGGCCACCTAGACGGCCCCAAGGCAGCCCAAGCCCCCCGAGATGGCCCAAGGGGCCCCAGGACGACGGCTTCAAGTAGGGGAACAAAAAGTGGCATAAACATAAAAACTCGGAGGTCCGCGCTGATTTCTCGGATCGGCGCTGGGGCCCCCCGGCGGCGCCTCCGGCGCCGCCCCTGGCGCGCTCGGCGCGCCAGGGAGGGGGGTCCAGCGCCGATCCGAGACATCCGCGCGGACCTCCGAGTTTTTATGTTTATGCCACTGTTTGTTCCCCTACCAAGACGAGCCAAGAAGAACCTTGAATTTCGGTACTGTTTTGGGCGCTCGAAATTCTTCCTGGTGATCAAGGCTAAAGTAGGTTGGAGCATCATAACCCAAGAAGAACCCACAAGGACCTCCCAGAAGGCACTTGTCGGCATCGTCCTTCTGCTGAGGGATCGGCGGCACATGGCGTGAGCCTCCTGACGTGCCTTCCCACCCCCAGGCCCCCGCCCCATTCGCGCCTACAAGTAGGTCGGGCCTGTCGCTCCCCACAGGGGGATTTTGAACGACAATTTTTAAAACACCCCATATATATACACATATTAAAGATACAGAACAAATGTCCCCGGACTATTTCTGGACTATTCTTGAATTCTCGTCCTGTAGAGGGACAGGCCCGACCTAAGCCTACAAGCATTCCTCTCACCCAGCGAGCCCCCCCATTCGCACCTACAAGCACTTGCCATCGCTCGGACGTCCGTTCCACGTGCATTGTTCGGCTTCGTGCGTATTTTTCTCGTGCTCGCTGATCAGGGATGCCCCTGGATGGTCCTCGCCGAGAAAAAAAGCACACGCCCGAGCGATGCCAAGAACATTCCTCTCACCCAGCGAACCCCTCCCGCCCGCCCCTCCCGAAACGACGAGCGCCCCACGGGCCCGCAACGCAGGCGGGGGCTCCATTGCGCAAAGCGCCCGCCCTCCGTTCCTCGAGCTATAACAACTCGACGGCGCGGGTGTCCACAGGGAGCGGGGGTGTTCCCGCTTGGCTACCACTTGTCCGCACAAACCTTTGCAGAGCCTTGTCTGGCCAGCTTCGCCAGGCCCGCCCAAATCCGCCGATCCGGCGTGTGAGTTTCAAGGAGTCTCAGCTACAGCCTCGAGGCTGAGCTTCAGCCTCTGGGGGGGTCGCCGGGGTGGCTCTGCCGGGGAAGGGGGGGTGGGGGGGGGGGGGGGGGGTGCGAGTTTCCGGCGAACCCCGGGGCCGCTCCGGGGGAGTGGAAGATAGGGGGGGGGGGGGCGCCATGCTCCGCTTTTTCCGGCGCTTTGGAGGAGGGGGGGGGCCCAAGAGACCCCCAAGGGGTTCCAAGAGGGCCCCGAGTCGCCGAAAAATCGCTCCAAGACGCCCGAGATGGCCTCCAGACGGCCCAAGGTGTCTCCAAGACGCCCCAAGAAGCTTCCAAGAGGCCTCCCAAGAGGGCCCCAAGAGGCCAGAATCGTTGATTTTCATTGGTTTTCTCAGGGTTTTTAGCGTTCTTGCCTTTTCGGGCGTCCGACGCTCGAAGACGGCCCAAGAGGCCCCCAAGTCCGTCCCAAGACGGCCCACGATGCTTCCAACACGGCCCAAGAGAGCCCCAAGACGGCCCAAGAGGGCCCCAAGACGGCCCAAGAGGGCCTCTGGACAGCCCAAGAAGGCCCCAAGAGAGCCCCAAGAGGGGCCCAAGAGGGGGACCACGAACCGAAAGAACCGAGCTTTCCGCCCCAAGAGGCCCCCAGGAGGCCCCAAGAGACCCCCAAGGGGCCCCAAGAAGCCCACAAGAGGCCCAAAAGAGGTTCCAAGAGGCCCCAAAACAGCTCCCCAGAGGCCTCCAGACTGCCTCCGGCAGGCCCCCGGTTTCTTCCGCGGCACCGCCCAGGGCGCCACCGGCAGGATGTCCTCCGTCTCATCGTTTTCCTTCAAGTTATCGCCTCTTCCTCATTCTCCTCCTCCTCCTCTGCGACCTCACTCCTATCCCTCAACGATCGCGTCACCGAGTGCCTCTTCTTTGAAACATCCTCGCTCTTCAAACGCACATCCATACACACATGCATACATACCTACATTTAAACACATTTGCATACATAGAAAAACAATCTTCCAGACATACATACTTACATTCACACACATACACACATATTATCATACACACATACAAACATACATACAAACTAAATACATACATACGCGCACAAGCATACATACATACATACGTACCTACACACAGGCACACATGATCAATGCATGCATACATGCATGCACGCGTACATACACACACATATATCGTGAAACTCACCGCGTGCTCGAAACTTGAGAGAGACCGCGGGAAGTCGAGAGAAGCCGCGGAACGAGGCCTCTACTACTACTACCACTACTACCACAACCACTACTACTACTACTACTACCACTACTACTACTACTACTACTACTACTACTACTGCTACTACTACTACTACTACTACTACTACTACTAATACTACTACTAGTACTACAGGTGCGTTTCCCAACTAGTATGTGTGTGTGGGTGATGCTGTGTGCGCATGTCTGCGGCGCAGGTTAAGTGGTGTGACTGTGTGTGTGCGTTTGAGTGTGCGCCCATAATTTCTGCGTCTGGAGAATAACCCCGAGCGACCCGGATCGGCGGCACTGGCCGAAGGCCACTACAATCAGTCTACTTCCATCAGCTCCCGATTGTCAAGCGGAAGCCCCGCTATGAAACAGGGCTGTCCTCGACCCGTGTAGTTGCTGCACAATGTTGACCGTCTGGACACAGATGCAGGCGAAATGCGAAACGATCGCTCCGCTTTGAGAAGGAACCGTCCTCCGGCCGTGCAAGTCTTCCGCCCTTCTACAACTCTGTCATCTTGTATGTGTTGAAGATATATAAGGCAATGACACCACTTTGAAAACGTACTGGCCTCCGTCCATGTGTAGCTGCTGGAAGATCTGACATCGAATGTGCACAACACAAAAACGATAACCACATTATGGAAAGGTGCCGGCCTACGTCCGTGTAGCCGCTGAAGCCTTCAAACTTCGGGGTAGTACGACGCAAGGAGGGCTCAAGTGAAGCGCCTGGCCCAGCCTACGGACACGTCTGCTGGTCCGACAGGGAGGGTGTTCATAAGGAAGAAAGTTGGAGGAGGTGGGATGAAGCGGGAGAAGGGAATGAGGCGGGAAGGAGAAAGGAAAGAGGGAGGAGAAATGAGTAAGCTTGCTCCGTTCAAGCGACAGGAATACAGTGAAAAACAAACGGCCCAGACAACAGATGGGCGACGATCAGGCGATCTTGTCAGCATGTGCATCCGATGTTTCTCAAGGTTATGGGCCGTTCCCGCGGCCGTCAATGGTATCCCCAATCTGGACTCTTGATCCCAACCCTCGCCAGGGGAATTGTCCTCCGCAGGGGCATCCTGGGGTGCCTGGGGGTCCGCCGCCACCTCCTGCCCTTACTCATCCTCTCCATCCACCTTCTCGTCCTCGTCCTCGTCCTCGTCCTCCTCTCTGGCCGACGAGCCCCCGAGTGCCGCAGCGAAACCGAACCCCTCCTCATCCCTACCTCCTCCATACCTCCCCCCTGCCCCCCTTCCCCCCCCTACTTCATCCTCCCTACCCCTCCTTCCCTCGAGGCCGCGGCGCAGGTTCAACCAGCTCCGTGACGAGCTCACCAACAAACGATACCCATTACACAGCAAACTTCGCCTTTTCAGCGGAACAGTGACGCATACTGTCATGTACGGTTGCGTATCCTGGACGATGACCAAGGACATGCTTCAAACGCTGACGCGCACTCAACGATGGATGCTGCGACTCATCGTAAAAAACCCACGACGTCAAGCAGTTCACAATGGCACCACTATCGACAACACTGGCAGCACTGACAATGACGACGACGACGAATTGCAAACCGATGGTGGCGACGACGACTCCGACCTCGAACCATGGGAATATTTGATCCGCAGAGCTACGCACAGAGCAGCAGATCTTGCAAACAGAGCACGCGTAGATGAATGGACGACGGTGCACTTTCGACGAAACTGGCGGTGGGCAGGGCGAGTCGAAAATCAACCGTACAACAGATGGGCCCGACTTGCTGCGACGTGGGAGCCGGACATACATGACCACCGGCAAGCAGTCCGCAGACAAAAGGGTCAGAGGAAACGGTGGGAAGACGACATCACACAATTTCTGACAGCACACATGTTTCTCTAACCTGGCAGCGGACGATGGTTTGCACTAGCACAAGACAGCACTCAGTGGAGTAATTTGGAACAAACATTCCTACGCCACACAGAGCGATGACCACAAGTTCCACTTCTGCGACTGAGGGGCCCCGGCCCGCCCGCGCTGGCCGTCCAGGCCCGCCCCCCAGCGGACTCAGGCGCGCCTTGCCTAGCCTTGCCTTGCCTTGCCTCGAGGCCGCGCGTCGCATCAACATCCCCTTCCTCCTCCTGCGGGAGGGGGCCCTCACTGAGCGCGAAGGGCGCGGGTGGAAGAGCGGGGCCTGCGGTCCATCCCATGCTGGACACCACGTCCGCGGCGCACGGGTCGCCCTGCCCGGCGAGCACGGACCTCTCCAGGCGACCTCTGGGCGGCGCTGCAACGACTGTGGGCGGAGCGCGATATCAGGTCGCCAGGAGGGCCCTCCCCCACAGGATGGCCCCGGGATCCCAACACAACGCGCCCCTAATTAGAGGCATCCAGGCTTCCCAAGGGGCCACCGGCGCGGCGTGAGTCACATAATCATAAGGTCGCCAGATTCAAAGTCCATCGGTGTGCCACGCGCGCCGCGGCCCACGCGCGTGGCGAAGGCAATGGGCAATGTGCTACGCGCCTTTGGACGAAATTTCGCTCACACCAGTGCCGTATTGTCCACTGTTTGGACGGAGTGGGTAGAAACATGAACTAGGAAGGCGTTGAACACACATTATGTTACCGCACTATCCCTGAAAAAGAAAGCAGACAGGAAAAACAAAAACGCTCGGCACCTGGAATAGCAAGGGCGCCGAAATATTCGTATCTGGGAATCCGAGAACGCCTACTTTCAGCGACCAGTGAGCAAGTGCAAGACAAGGGCAAGGTTGAGTCGGGCTGCTGAAAGAAGGGGCGCTAAATCAGGAACGAACCTTTTCGTTGGCTCCACAAGCGCCTGCGCGAACGAGGAACTAGAGCAACATCAATGGAAAGGGCCTCTTTGCTGCAGGAATCACCACCGCATCCTCGCCACATTGCGATGCCGTGCGGTCTGCATGCCAGCTCCATAAGCTGGGGCGGTCCCCTCAGGAGCACACGAGACCAGGCGCCGGAAGGAAATGTCAAACGTGGGGGAGGGGGACTGGGCAACCCGTTTTCTGGGGAGGTTGTGAAGGTTGGCCGAATACAGAGACGAGTAAAAAAAAAAATGGACAGGGAAGGGGCGAGGAGATTGTCGAGGTCTCAGACGCGGTGGAGGGGGGCTGGACAACCAGGGTTCTGGGGGGTATCTGTGGGTCCCCAATGCAGAGACCAGTAAGAAAAAAGGAAAGGGGAAGGAGGTTGACAGAGACGTCACTCGCGGGGAAGGGAATGGTCGGGCAACCAAGTTTCTGGGGATGGTGTGGGGGTTCGCCCAATGCAGAGACGAGTCGGAGACAGAGAAAGGGGAGGGGCCCTCTTGGGAGGCCTCTTGGAGGCCTTGTGAGGCGTCTTGCAGGCCTCCCGGGCCGTCTTCGGGGCCCCATCGCGGCCTTCTTGGCACGTTTCGGGGCCCTCTTGGGCCCGGAACAATCCGGCGGGGAGGCGCGGGGGAGCCCAGGGGGCACTCGACGAGCCCCCAGCCGATCGCACGGTCTTAGGTCAGGTCTGGCAGAGGTGCCCGACGTTCCGCCCGGCCGACTCGCCATAGACACTGCGGCCGCGTAGCAGCTTGTGGAGGGCCGCCCGCGGCGAGGGGGTCGCGGCCTCCGAGGACGGCGCGCACTCGGCAACAATATCCAAGATCCGCGCGCGCACCTTCAGCTGATCGAAATTTGGCGCGTCGCCCGCGGGCTCTCAAAACAAAATCAAGGCATCGGCGACGTCGTTCAAGTCGCGACGGGCTCGCCTGGCCAGCCCGACAACCCCCCGCGGCTCTGGAGCCGCGCGCTGCGAGCGTCGGCATCGGGCGGCCTCTGCCGGGGGGGCGTCTTGAGCAAATCCACCCCGACATCGCAGCTGGGCTGAGGCGGGTCGCCCGCCTCCGCCGCCGGGGCGCGCCGCGCCCCCTCGGGCGCGGCGAGTTCGCCCCCTTGCCCGCCTGCTCCTCGGCCGCGGCCGCCATCGCGCCCGCGACGACCCCGACCGTCTCCGCGTCCGCCGTCGCGACCGCCATCGCGCCCTGCACCGGCGCTGGCGGCCCCGCCGCCAGCTGGGCCCCCCGCCCGCCTCGAGCGCCAAGGGGCTCGGCAACGGGGCCCTGGCGGCCCAGCTCTTCCCGCTCTCCAGCTCCATCTCCTCCCTGCTCTTTCGGGCCAGGCCGACGGCGCCCGTCGGGCCCGCCGCGCCGATCATCCGATCCCGCGCCCGCGTGTCCAGCCAAAGCAGAGCGTCGCCGCAGCCCTACCCCCAGTTCTTGATCATGCGCTCTGCAAATTTGCCTCCAAAGCTGCGCGAAACATCGAGCGGAAGAAACGATTCGGCCCTGGTCCCCAGTCTTCCTAAGCCCGCCAGTGGCCCTCAGCAAACCAGAGTTCAAACTTTGCCTGCGCCCTGCTTCAAGCTGCGCATGACATTTGCGCAACGAGCGCTGGCCCCCAGCCAATCACGCCCTTTCTTTCTCAGCCAGCCCATGGCGCCTAGCAAGCCATGTTTAGACATTCGCCAGCGCATCCTGCTTCAGACCGCATATGCAATTAGAGCCGCGACTGCGGGGCCGCAGCCGATCCCCCTCCTTCTTCCTCGGCCCGCCCGCTGTCCCCGGCAAGCAATTTCTGATAGTTCGCGAGCGAATCGTGTTTCAAGCTGCGCGTTAAGATAAACTGCGCCACGAATGCACGGCCCTTGCCAGACACTTCACCATTCTCCCCCAGCCCACCCATGGCCCCTAGCGAACCAGCGCTCGCCATTTTCAAGAGCGTTTCGCTTCGCGCGATAATTGCGGTGCGAATGCGGGGCCCCGGCCGATCGCACCCGTTCTTCCTCGGCCCGCCAATGGCCCCCAGCCAATCGCGCATGATGCAATGGCGAGCGCTTCCTGCTTCAAACTGCACGCGTGAGTTGCGGCATGAATGGGGCCCCCAGCCAATCGCCCCCCTCCTTCCTCGGCCGCCCCGCCTATGGCCCCTCAGGAAAGAGAAACAAGAACAAAACAAAAAACAACGCGCGAAAATGTCCGAGCGCTATGTGCAGTTAGACACAACGAATTTGGAGTGTGCTATAGTTGACTTCCGCCGCTCCACCCCCCCTCCTCTGCCCGCCTCTGCCCCCTATGACAGGTTCGTTCGCATTTGCGGGCGATCCCTGCTTCGAGACGAATCTGCGGCGTGAACACGGGCCCCCGTCGCGCGCCTCCCTTTCCACTGTGGCCCCCAAAAGACCACTTGAAAATGCGCGAGGGCGTCTGGCTTCAAGACGCAACAAAAAACACACGCGAACGCGGGCCAATCTCCTTTCGCGGCCTTTCTCGCAACGCCGCGGGCCCCGAAAGCCGCGACGCATCCAAACAGCAACAAACAAACGGAAAACATATGCTTCGACATTGGCCCGCGTCAGTCCGCCACCCTACTGAGCGGGCGCCCCATTGGCCCCTTGGATCCGTTCGAAACTGCGCGACGAGAGCGCCCTTCGCATCGGCCGTGCGGCATGAGCGCGGGCCCCCATCAATTTCCTCGGCAATCTCTCTTGCGAACGCTTCGCGCGTCGGAGAGCAGGGAACACGCTGGACCGAGCGAGATTTGATCCGTGAGACGGCCCGAACGCCGCCGCGCATCGGAGTGCACTGTCGGACCGTGCCCGACCGTTGCGACCGGGGGGGCGGCCGCGGCGATGGAGCCCTGGAAGTCGCGACTGCGCGCGCGTCTGTCTGGCGGTGGCGCCAGGACGCGCAAATATATACACGCAACATAAAAATATTCCCCATATTTTCTAAGGCGGTCCAAGAGGCCCCCAAGATCACCCCAAGACGGCCCGAGAGACCCTCTAGACCGCTCAAAGACGGCCCAAGAGCGCTCCAAGAAGGCCCAAGAAACCCTCAAGAACTCTTTTTCGGAGCCCAGGAGGGCTCCAAATCGGTCCAAGAGGGGCCCGAGAAGCCCTCCAGACGGTCCAAGAGAGCCGGGAGACGCCGAAATATCACCCCCAAGCGCCTACGATGGCCTCAAGACGGCCCAACAGGCCTTCAAGACGCCCCAAGAGGTCCCTAAGCGGCGCCCCAAGAGGGCTCCCACAAGCAAAAATCGTCCTCATTCCCTAAGGAAAGCGTGCATTTTTAACATATCCGCCTCTTCGTCTTTCACACCTTTCAAGGCGGTCCAAGAGGCCCCCAAGATCACCCCAAGACGGCCCGAGAGACCCTCAAGACCGCTCAAAGACGGCCCAAGAGCGCTCCAAGAAGGCCCAAGAAACCCTCAAGACGGTCCAAGAGGCCCCAAGACGGCCCCATGATTGAGGTCCACAGGGGCAACCTGAACGGAAATTTTGAGCCTCCCGCCCAAACACGCCCCCGAAATGCCCCTACAAGCCCCCAAGTAGCCCCACGAAGCCCCCAAGAGAGCCCCAAGAGGCCCCCAACAGGCCGCAAGAAAGCCCCAAGAGGCCCCCAAGAGACCCCCAGGAAGCTCCCAGGAGGCCCCCAAGAGGCCAGGCAGACCCCCCCAAGAGACCACCAAGAGGGCCCACCCAGAGCCATCCACGAGGCCTCCAAAAATTCCCAAGAAGCTCCCACGAAGCTTCCAAAGACCCCCCAAGAACCCGCGATGGCACAATACGGGCCGGCGGAATGAGCGAAGCGATTCAATATTCCCTATATTTTCTGATATTTGTGGGGTTTTGTCTTTCCCCCCACTTCCCATATTTTCCCATCTTTTCGGGGGAATCGACGATTAATTGTGTCTGTGTGTTCCCCCCCCCCCCCCCCCCGACGATCGCCGCCGGCGCGCGCGGCCCGGGGGGGCCTCATATGGAGGCTCCACAGGGCGGGGCTCCATGGGGGTGGGGGGGGGGAGGGGGGGGGGGGGGACGTTCTCTGCGCCGGGACTGCGCGGGGGGGATCTGTGGGGGGTCTACAACTTGAGCTCCCGAAAGACACCGCCTTTGACGCTCGATAAAGCGTCTCGCGCATCTTCTCGCAACTTGTCGACAAATCCCAGAAACGCCCACGATTGCCGCGACTGACGCAGTTTCGCTGGCAACTCCTAAGAGCCACGCGGGGCCATCGTCGCGCAGACTCATGACTCGGGCAGACCCAAGGACCCGGGGCCAGTGGCGACGACAAGCAGCACCCTTCACCGCCGATGACTGGATGGACGGGCCTGGGGGCCCGTCGAAATGGCCCTCTAAGCCCGCG